CTCACACACACACACACACACACGTGTGTGTGTGTGTGTGTGTGTGTGTATGTGTGTGTGTGTGTGTGTGTGGACACGCATGCCCAAGCATGCTAATGTCACTGACAGCGCACCTGGGAACCTTCCCTCTGAGAATCACCTGAACTCTTTTCTCGTGACTGGGTTTATCACAGGCAAGAGTTAAAGAAAATGTGTCCTGTGAAGGATGTTTAATTCTTTCTCTTGCTTCTTCCACATTCTGTTATCAGTGGTATTCTTTCTTGAGTGTTTGGAGGAAATTCAGAATAATAAGTTTAGTTCAGCTAGAACATCCTTATGTGGGTCTTTTTATGTGCTAAGTGCTTTTAATCAAGATGGAAGAATGCTAATTTATTGAGATAGCAAAATATATTAAAGGAGATTAAGCTTTCTGTGACATTTTTTTTCCCTGACAATTTCTTTACTATAATTTAAACTGCATATTTTGGAAAGCTCTTTCCACTTAGAGTGAATTTAACATCCAGAGATGAAATGTAAGATAGCGACTTCTTAGAAATTATTGGACAGCAAGTGATAAATGAATCCTGTTCCCTAGGCAACCACGTGGAAGGATGTAACATCCCCCAAACTCTTAAGATGAAGTTTAAGGTTGCAACTATTTTGGGTTTCAGCTTCCTCTGAAAGTGGTTTTTATTTCTCGAAATTACTCTCTGATGCAGTGAATTCTGCGCCCTCTCCGCTCCCCTTCCTACCGCGCTCTTGTGTGCCACCCCCGCCCCCCTCCTTTGATCCAGCGCTTGCGGCTGTTCGAGGAAAGGTGGCCGCCCTGGAAATGATCCAATTGAGGATGGAAACTAATACGGGGACAGAGCAGAGCCATTGCGGCCATTTGTTAAGCTTCTGTCATTTCACCAAGCAAAGTGCCTGCAGGTCTCCGACCCGCTCGCTCTTGAGGGTTTTTTCCTCTTTTCGCTTTCTAGCGAATGTGGTGTGGCGTACCAAGCTTTCAGCGGAAGCCATTTTAATGGAAAAGTTGCTGGGATGAGTGCTCTTCTGGGTCTTTCAGCAGACCTGTCTGCACCAGTGTCAAGGGCCATCTTGACGGTGGAATCTTCTACAGTGAAGTAGCATCCTTTCTTATCTACCAACCTGGTCTCAGCCTTTTATTCTCCTTCCCCTGCTCTTTGTGTCTTTTGGTGATTTTGTTTCAGAATGTGCTGGGCGACTGGGACCCGAGCACTGATCCCTCAGGGAAGGCACCATGGGAAATCCCTGCAGAGGCCTGCCATGGGCACCTTTCAGAAACGCGAGGACTAGTCATTGACACTTTCTCTCCACTGTGCCGTCTATGACTGGGGGTATCTTGTGACCCCAGAGGTTCAAGTGACTTCTAGGGGGCCTCCCAATAAGAATCTCACTTTAGCATATTCCAGTGGCTAGAGTTTACATTAATTAGTAATATTTGAAAGACGTTTATTTAGAAGGCTGAGCTCATTCCTGCTCAACTATCTATTAACTACTTAAGTGAGAGGCTCTAATTGGTTCCTCCCATGTCATGTGGTAGTTGGCCAAGGGCATGGGAGGTGACTGACATGGAAAAGGAGACACTCTCCTATATGGTTAGTATATGCTATAATAAGGAAGCTCTGGCTCTCCAGGGGACGTCTGCAGGTGAAGCTGTTGGGGGTAAAGTCAGGAGTGAGGAACGCAGGAACACAGGAAGAAGGGTAGCAGGAGAAGCAAGCGTTGGGCAGAGCATGCTGCCTTTTGCATTTTGGCTGCATCGTGGGGCTCTGAATGCACCCACTGCAGAGCACAGTGGTCCAGTTGCCCAGTGTGGGCCAGGGTAGGCTTGCCATGCCGCTGTGTGTGTTAAGTATCATCACATATCCCTCACTCCAGGTTTTTAGGCACATCTAAACCTTGGACATACATGTGACACAGTTTCATCTACCAACTTCACACTCAAGAACTGTGCAGTAAGCTACAAAAGAAAATAAAACCGTACCCCCCCCCAAATATCATAATGGTTTAAGTAAGTTTATAATTTTTTAGGGGGCCACATCCATGTCTATCCTGGGGTGCAGGTGGGACATGCCTGAGAGAGATTGGATTTGGGTTATTGACTGGATTTGCTGGACTATATTGAAAATGACTTAGTGTTCTAAAAATACTTTTTGAAGGCATCTTTTGCATCAAGAACAAGGACAGTGGGTCAGTGACAAAGGTCATTGCCCTCACTGATAGTATCAGCTCTAAGGATAGCACAAAAGTTATATATGGTGTACACAGTGCCTCCATATTATCAGTAGCTCGGGGAGTCATAGGTGGGAAGGGGTCACCTGACAGCATCTATGTCAGGTGGTTCTTGGCAGTTAGGGAGGAGTTTAATTTTTGTTTGTTTATTTATTTATTTGGTTTTTATTTATTCTTGTAGGGCTCAGGACTGAACCCAAGGCCTTGTGCATGGGAGGCAAGCATTCTACCCCTGAGCTACATCTCTAGCTTTGAAAGGTGGTAGGGGGTAGGGGGGGGAAGTCTGAGGGAGACTGGAGACTCAGCATGTGTTGGGGACACAGAGGTCCTTGTGCTCACTGATACGCACTAGAGAAACCAGGGATGGTAAACACACAGGGTTGTCTCTTCAAAGGAAGAAATGTATAACCTGTTTTCTGCCCAGAAGGCCGGGAATGGAGGTGGTTAAAAGCCTGGTGATCCCTGTGCTATCTGTTGGATCAGGCCACATCTGGCTCTCCAAGGCTCCCACAAACAGGACTATAGGTGATTAATAGCCTAGGTGACCTCTGCACTATCTGTAGGGCCAGGCCATACCTGCCCTTGTTCCCCTGCGTTGTCCCCCAGATCCTGACAAACAGAACCAGAGGTAGTTACTAGCCTGGTGACCTTTACACTATCAGTATGACTGAGACCATACCAGATCCTCCTCCAGGCCCTTAAGATCACACGTGTAATCTACCTACAGAACCCATCTTCATGGACAAGGTGGCATGGACTTTGAAACGAGTTTCAATGTGATTATGCCTTAAGCTTTATTGTGCACATGGGATTGTGTTACCAAATTGTACTGTACTTAAACATGCCTAAAATAAACCATCCGGTGTCAGACTCTAGAAGTTGGAACTAACACTGGCCACTGAGTTACACTGAACCGGACTTCCTTCTTGATGCACTGGGATCGACCCTATGCTGGGGGGTGTGCTGCAGGCTAGGAGGCAAACTCTGGAAACCGAGTCAGACCTGCTGTGGCTGAAGGACACTTAGCAGAGATGTGTAAGCAAGCCTTCAATAGTTGGTTTAAAGTGAACTAAATTCTGGTGCCTGGTGGAAGCTGGACATTCAAGGCTCAGGTCTCCCAAAAGAATAGCCAGAGTTTTCAAAAATATTCCAGACAGAGCAAACATTGAAATGGTTGATCACAATCAGTGTTGGGGGAGGGGACATCAGTCAAGTCTGGCATTTTAGCAGTAGCTCTCATATCTGTCAATAGACAGCCAAATTTAAAATGTGGACCCCTATGACATTTCTCCCTTAGTTGTATTTTTAGGAGCAACTTTCATAGCAACAAATTTGTTTCTGAAAGGGAGAAGAATCAAATCCCACTGCAATAAAGTTGAAACATCAGAACATTTAAAACTCTTGTAAATAATTCATTTTCAGAAGAAGTACTCATTTCTAAAA